AGGGGGGGGGGGGGGGGGGGTGCAACTCCTTACTGACGCCCATGGTTTTTGAATAGGATGTCCAACAAGTTTCTATAGTTGTGATAGTCAGGTTCCCACAAACCTTTGGCTATAGTTTATGCAAGTTGATAAATTAGCTGAATTAGATACAGCATTTTTTGTTAAATAATATGAACAAGGGGCAAAAAGTATAAAATCCATAGTCATAAAATAGGGTCACATTTAAACTCACATTCATCTTGCATTCTGCCATCCAAATCAAACTGTCCACCCTTGATCTGGGTTTGCATCATTCAAAATGCCATTGTCATTGTTACATTCCCCAGCACACTTTGAAACATTTGCTGTTTTTAAAAGACAGATTAATGATTATATTAATCATTCATCGATAATTCCTAAGCGGCAGTTAAGAAACGTGGAGCAGCCCTACCCTTTTGTCTCCAATCCAGCTACTTGAACCTTGGTGCCTGGTAAAGCTTCCGCTGAGCAATAGAAAAAAAAACGGACACTCGCAAGGGGATCCGTCTATTCCATCACTTATTTACAAAAAGGCACAAAAGCAGCAAACAAACAAATGCTTACATGTTTCAGCCCCCAAAACTTGGTATTAGTCGTAGCCAATTCCCAAGTAGAGTTGGTTCTTATTCTCTGCATGTTTGACCCACTGCATAAAGCTGAAGAAAAACACACACAGTTAGGGCAAATTTGATCCAGACTTTATCAGGTTTTATTTGCAAATATTTTTTCAGCTGTAGAACTTTTTTTTTTTTTTACCCCCCCACATTGTCTCTCCCTCCAGGATTACATTGCAATTTTTTTTTATGCATCAGCATGTTTACACAATCAAATATACTCGGTTGATATTTCCATAAATAACAGAAAACAATACTTTTTTTCTCTTTCACAGTCAACACTCAAGTCAACACTTGTTTTCCAAGAGTCCTTTTTTTCTTACTATATAACCAGTTCAGCTCTCAGACCTCATAACCTCTTGGACCAGAGCGATTTTTACATTTGAGCCAGTTTATTTAGCAATAGCTTTGTTATTACTTAAGACAACAAAGTAACAGCTTTTTTTTTTTTAGGTTTTGCATATTTTTCTTTGTTATTGAGAAACTGAAAAAAACTAAACAAATGAGAATGATAAAAAAAAAGAAATAAAAAGATAAACAGGAGAAAAATAATAGCTAAGGTGAGAAGGGGAGGAAGGAGTTAATTAGGGTTGATTTGTGTTAACTAGGGGCTAATAAAGAGAAAGGAAAATTTTTACCTTTTTTTCTTTTTGTTTGGTTAAGGCCTCGTTCACACCATATGTGGTCCGGTGCGATCAAAATAGTGCTGGCAGCATTTTGATTGCACCGCACCGGACCGGACCGCAGGCACAATGTGCCTTGCGATAGCATTGCGGCCGAAGGGGGGAGGGGCGGGCCATTGAGGTGAATGGCACTGTAGCCACGCCCCCTTCTGCCTCACAAAAAAGGGAGCCGGCTGCAATGCGAGGCAGTGCGTTCCGGCCAGAATCGAGTCGGAACGCACTGCATATGGTGTGAAGGAGGCCTTAGGGTTAGGTAGGGGTTGTGGCGTGTTGTTTTTTTTTCCCTTTTCCAGCTCAGATCCTCTGGAGGAAGCATGGTTTTGTGGTTGTTTTAGAAAGGAGTTATTGATATTTTTAGTTCTCTTTTGTTTCTTGTTTCTGACTGATTTTCCTCCTATGAGAGTCTCTTAGCAATGATGTTTATATGTTTATATTGTTATACAAAGTAAAAAATAATAAATAATTATTTTACAAAAAATAACTAGGGGCTAATAAGAGGCATATAAAAACATTTCACTTAAAAATATTATTTAACTATTATTTTTTAAGTGATATCATATGCAGATCAAGGATCATGCTTTTGATCTACATATGAATGAAATAGTAAATAATACAATAAAACAATACACCGAATCATTGTATTTACCCAATCACTATCTACAAGACTATCTACAAGTGCCAGTTTACACAAGAGCAGCTGCATTTTGACAGCCGATCCCGCTGTGTAATATTGGGGTAGAAGGCCGAGATGGACGTAAGAAATACATCCCAAAAACTTTCTTGAATTTTTTTAACCTGCATCATTTACATCCAAAATTCTCCAGTTGATAAACATCCTTTCAAACCAAATTGAAATAATGGCATGTAATCAGGAGGATCTCATGTGACCTGCAACACAGCTGCACAGAATTGCTTTAATATACTTCAAAATCTGTCTACTTACAACTACAAATTCACATTAACTGCATAAGGCTATTATATGGATTTTATATAGGATGTTAAGGATAAAGATTTGATATATATGTTATTTGTGAATGAAGCACTAAGAAAGCCACTTTGGCCTGGTAACATGAAGTCATGCCACTGCTGCTGTTTAAGGCCTCATTCACACGGGAATCGCCTGCACGTACAGCTCCGAGCTGCTCCCGGGAAGGACAGGTGCTGCGTGTGATTAGTATGCAGCCCCCGTCCTTCTCTACGCGGCCCTACCCTCACCCGCCCTGCACATCTGTTTGGTTGCGGGTGAGTGTACTCGTACGCTGACAGGATGGATCCTGTCTGTGTCCAATCTGGGGGAAACCTGCACCTGTACGGACCTGCACTTTAGCCAGAACATTTCAATTAGTAGGTAAGAGTTAGAACATCTGATAGATTTTTATTGCACAGACTTTTCTCTTCTTAAGATAAAAGTACATTTCTAGTAGGGTGGTAAAGGTTAGAACCTCTCCTTTTGCGTGCTATCTATAACCCAGTCGAGGAGGATTTGCCTTATTTCCTGTAGTACTTGTACCTTGCTATATTCAGGAAATGGATAATCATAAAAGGAAAACTATCCAAAGAGTTGCCATGACTCAATATCAATCCATGTACCAGATCGGCAAAATTTTTGACCCAGGGAACTAATCCAGCTGCCTTGTGTGATTTGTTTTCCTTCCCCTTAAAGGCAAAATTGGCTATAATTGACCGGGGGCGGGGATCGCCTTCCTTTAAACCAGGGGTAGGCAAACTCTGGCCCCCCAGCTGTCCTGAAACCACAAATCCCATCATGCATCTGCTTCTTGAAGTCATGCCTTTTGGCTGTCAGAGTTATGCAATGTGTAATGGAATTTGTAGTTCCACTGCAGCTGGAGGACTGTAGCTTGCCTACCTCCGAACTAGACCAAAACCTCTGAGAGCTAAAAATATAAATGAATCCAATCACTAAAATCTTATCTAAGCTTTAGCATGTTAATGTTATTTTAAAAGTAATTCTCAATAGTTTTAAATCTGCAGCTTTTATTAAAATCATTCTTGGTGATCCTGCCATGAAGGTCCTTGAACAGACACTTCCTGTTATAGGGTGACAAGGTTCTGTCTCTTTCTACCAATTCTGCTCCTACGTTGTCACCCTATCACACGATGAGCAAATGGAGACTTAAAATGAGACCTGCCCTGAGAAATGATGTGCAGCACCTGCTGCAGTGCATGCATGTAGACACTTAAGGTGCCCATACACTCTACAACCATCGCAAGACTTTAGTCTTGCGATGGTTGTAAAGGGATTAAAAAAACGTACGATCTGCCTATCTTGGACAGGCAGATCGCACTCTCGATCATCGCAAGCCCGCCCTCCTGAGGGGCGGGCTTCCGATGACCGCAATGCTGAACGGGCAGTGTGCGCGTGCGCACACCGGCCCGTTCAGCATTTATCTTCCGAGCACCGTTCTAACCAGCCGAGAATCGTACGATTCCCGGCTGGTTTTCGAACATGCTGGTTCGACAGAAGACGTGCGACCGTACAGTAGAAACGGTCGCACGTCTCCGTTCACACTGCTCGATTATCGTACGAAAACCCGATCGCATACGATTATCGTACGCACCTTTAGACTTTACTTGTACTTTAAATTTGTGGAGAATTTGCCTTTTTGTAAGCTAAGTAACCAAGTAGCTAAAACTAATAAAAACATCCCACTACTTACTTGTCATTAAAGTACTTTGTCCTTGCAAAAGCATGAATGGATGTAGGCACTAAAGGGAACCCTGGACAGGGACAGGAAGACATGAGAAACAACCAAGTCAATTTAAAATACAATTTGAATGTGCAATTTAAAAATTTAAAAATAGAATATGATTATACAACAGAATGTACAGCAGGGGTGCCCATTAGGTTGATTGTGATCTACCAGTCGATTACAAAGCGAACACTGTTAGATCGCGATCAGCTCACTGACCTGACTTCCTTCCCAGGGTCTAGTGCGGCTGAATGTGTCAGACGCCGCAGACGCGAAGGGGTGGGACACCTCTCCCCGCCTGCAGTGTCGGACACATTTGGCCACACAAGCACCGCAGGAGGCCAGGACGGCGCACGAGAGGAGACCTGGAAAGCTGCTGCAGTGGAGGTAAGAAAAGACAGACAGGAGAGAGACAGCAGAGAAAGTGAGAGAAAAGACACCAGAGAGAGAGAAGAGACAGCAGACAGAAACGGGAGTTCAGGGGAGGGGGGGGCACGGTAGTGCCTTGAAGTCAATGGCACCGCAGCCACACTATCCCCCCCCCCGCCCGTAGTGCGTTCACCCGCACCTGGAACGCAGGCACTAATGCAGGGTGATTGCACTGTGGGAGGGGGGGGGCGTGGCTGCGGTGCCATTTAATTCAATGACCCTGAACGCAGGTGTTTTTTTGTTGGTAGATCTCATTGAGCTTGTCATTTGAAAAGTAGATCTCCAGACGAAAAATTGTGGGCGCCCCTGATGTACGTACAGTATTTACAGTGACACTAATCTCAGGAGTTAAATCTTAAAAATACATTCAAGTACCCTAACTAATAACAAAAATGTATCTTATTTGTGTATCACTCAGCTGTAGATCCTCAAATCATCTCTGAATTGGTGCTGACACTGTCCTTCCTTCTGGAGGGGGGCTACTTTTGTTCCCAATGTCCCTGTGTGTGTTGTAAAGAAGCCACCACTCCGAGCTTCCTCCCATGATGGACTACAATCTCAATGCAAATTAGTAAACTAAACGTGCAGTTGTAGTCCATCACAGGAGTGAGCTTGTCTCCTTGCCAGGAACTGAGCGGGACACACTGGCTGGCGTTCTGCCTAGCTCCTAGCAACCGGTTACGTCAGTGAGCTCGGTGGGATGCTGTGCACCACAAGCACTCCCCTGGATTGTCCACCATGAGCCACCATCCCCCCCGCCCCTGGAACATGCGTCATGAGCACCCCCCTTCCTCAGGTGGCGAGATGTCGTCTAGGGATGCCTCTGGCTCCCTGCATCACTTAGGACCGCCAAGCCCAGAAAACAGGCCAAGAGGTAGAGAGCCTCATGTTACTGTGGAAAAGGTGAGTTGAAAAAAAAGCATAAACACCACACCGGGTGAGGGAGGGGGTAGTCATGAGTTGGGCTTTAACTCTCTAGCATCTACCAAATACTAACAAGGTTTTTCACAAAAGGGTGAGGAGTTTGGAGAAGGCAGGAGAAGGGAACAATCTAGGACAACATCGCTTAACTGGAAAGTGAGCTGAATTGGAGAATTTTTCCAGTTCAGCTATGTTGTCCTAGATTGTTCACTTCTCCGGCCTTCTCCAAACTCTTCACCCTTTTTTGAACAACCCTGTAAAATGTATAAGTTTTGGGTGTACTGCCGCTTTTAAGAGGAACTGAACTCTACGAGCTTTACCCAAAAAATGGAGACAAAGGACAAGGGACTAGCTACCGGTACTATCTGTGGTCACCGTGTAGCCCGATCATGCACTGTGTCTCTGTATGTGGAGGTGGCCATGTTGGTAGAGGCAGGGCTTTGCTTCCTCATGTCATAGACTGCAGCAAGGAGAACAGTGAGCAGTACAGTAGTGATATTACCAAATCTCACTTCACTAGTAGTCAGAGGCAGCAGTGCCTTAGATCTTATGCTGCAGATATCCAGCTATGAGGGTGTAGGCACAGGACAGCCTTAGGCACCCTCACATACCAGGTCATGCAGTGCAATTTGCAGGAGGAATTCCATACAAAAGTTACATTTTTAGGGTACTGCTTAGGCACAGTTATCATTTCTATCTGTTCCACGAAACACAGCAAATCTTCACTTTTTATAATCCAGATCCACTTTAAATTAAAAAAAAAGTAGCAATTATAGAATTCTCTGAATTCACATCAGAGGAGGAGAGGTAATTATTGCTTGCTTCATTACCATGATATGAAGGCCATGATTAGTATAAACACATCCACATTTACCACTATAGAAAACAAGACTTCTTTCCTAGTTGGTTAAATTCACACAAAGTAGATCTGCCGTTTTCTCATTTTTCTTGCACATCATTTGTAATAATCACATAATGTTATTTCTCCCTGTTTGTCGGCATTTGCAGATCACTGGAGGGGATAATGGTATTTTGGCTTCAGGAGGAATTTGGCACTTACCCCATCCCAGGAGGTAATACCAATGCAGATGCTGCTCTTCAGCAAACACGGCCACCACTATTAACGTATGGAGGTAAATGCCCTCGCACAGCATCCAGAAATAATTACAGCCCAGCATATACTGATGAAAGAACTGCAGGACTTTGCAGCTGACCTGGAAGACAGAAGACATCCATCATAGTCTATAAACGGTTCCCACGAAAATGATTGTGTAATGGTTATAGAGGTGCCGTCATATCAAACATCTGAATGATTTGATACAGGACCGTGATACAGTCAGCCTAATAAGAGTATCTGTCATGTGTCATGTTCTCTTGTTCTTGTACAGATTCTTCAGTTGTGGCTGGAGGGGAATGCAGCTACAATACAGGCCATTATATAATGTTCTCCAGTATATTCAGTCTTGTTACAATGTGTGCTACTGTACATGCAGTATCATTATATCTTACCATACTTGGTGCAGCCACCGCTCTTGCCTAACAACCTCTCCCCCTTCCCTTCTCTCTTCCACTGGGCAAGGAAGGCGTGCCTCCACAGCCATTTTTCTGGTGGTTAGCGGTGGTCAGCTTTGCACCTGCTTGGTTGCTCGTTACGCATCACAAGCCCATGGTTCTGGTAGCATTTGCTGCCTAGCCCCCTGATTTGTGTCTTGGTGCCCTGTCTAGCCTGTTTTACTGTAACTGACCCCTTGCTGTTTGGATAATAGACTTCTCTCTCTTAACACTGCCTGCCCTGACTCTTGCTTTGCATAGTGGATGGTTCTCTCTGAATACTGCATACCCTGACCCTTGCTTTGGATAATGGATTCTTCTCTCTGAATACTGCCTGTCTTGACCCCTTCTTTGTACAACAGATTAATCTATCTGAACACCGCCTGCCCTGACTCCTGCTTTGGATAACCGATTACTCTAACTGAATACTGCCTGCTTTGACCCTTGCTTTGGTTAACGGTTTACACTTTCTGAACGCCGCTTGCCCTGACCCTTGCTTTGGACAACAAATTACGCTCCCTGAACGCCGCTTGCCCTTGATGTCATTATGTTGGGCTCTTAGATATCTGCCGCCTTTGTCATTACATTGTGTTCTTTTGGTACTGTATATGTAACCTTTTAGATGGAAATCTTTTAAATGATCCCTTCACTGGTGTTAAAATTACAAATTAATAAATAAGGAACCATCATTGAGCTACCTCTAAATTGCTGAATGCCCATTTAAAAATATGCGATTTTGCCGAACCGATCACTGGATATTTTGAGAGAAATATGGAAGAGTGAAATCCTAAATCCTTTTTAACTAAATATCAGAAACAATCTGCCTGAAACCATTATCAAGCAGAGCAGAAAGTGGCCTTTGAAGTGTTTTCCCCCTAAACACAATTGCATCCTATTAACCTGTCTAGACAGGAGGGTAATGCGCATCAAGAAGCTGACATCATGGAAAGCGCCCGTCCTCGAATTGGTTCTAAATATCTGCCGCAGTCGAAATCCATCTTTTACAAACGTGTCAGCCTAATATGAAAGATGATCGCGGAATCGATATTAGAGCACAGCAAAAGCACAGACTTATGAAAAACGAATTGGATGTGGACAAATGATCAGCAGCCTCAATGCATTATGGTCCCTTCTATGTGTTATAGGATTAAATGGGACCCAATTGCATTAACATGGCTAATGTGAAATTCGACGCACAAAAGGTAACATTTTTTTTTTACATTAGGTATACATGGAATTTTTTAAAGGGGAACAATCGCATAGTTCCAATTGTGCATTGTGATATATTATTGTAAGATTTACCTGACATTTTTTTATGTATTTTTAACTTGTTTGCTGTTGTGTATTTTGATTACGATATTTCACAGATGGCAGTCCCCACACAATGGGAAATGAGGGGATTTAAATGCTTGAGAGAAATATGCAGGCTGCCAATGCTGACCCTTTGAAATTGCCAGCTGCCTGGCTGTCATGCTGCTCCAGTGGCTTTGATGCTTTAAAATCACCAACCATTATTATTACCAATATTAAGGATAGAAGGATTTTGAGCTATTTCAAATGTTGATAAATTCACTTACAATGGACGCCGCTCCTTAATGTTTAAAAGTTTTAGTTTCCTGCAGAATCAGCTGGTCCCCTGAGCACTGGTCCTGATATCCTGTTTTAGGGTGGCTCCTTTTCCTCACAGGGCCCTATGGAGCCTCCCTTGTGTGTGCTAGTAAGCTCAGCTGTGTGTGTTTCCACAAACACACGGGCAAGGCAAGCCACTCTCCCCTGATCCCCGCTCCTACCTCATCCTTCCTCCCTTCTCTAAGCTAGTAGATGAACAGTTATTGGAGACTGTGCTCTCCCTTGTGATCTTGTACTGAATGTGGAATTCAGGGAAGCCGAGCTGAGAGAATTGGAGCTAATGTATAGAAATATGTTGCTGTGCAATGTATATTTGCTTGATCTGGATTCATATGCATTATTAAAAAAAAGTTTGGGAGTTTACTACTACTTGAACAAGAATGAGGATCAGGAAAGCTAGAGAGTGAAGACAGAATTTCCGATCTGCAATGTTCTGAGTCAGTGACTTAGACATTTCTGCAACTGTTGATTCAGCACACCAATGAGTATCTACAGCAAGCAGCAAGCAATGAGTATCTTCATAGGCAGAGTTCAGCAATGTTTCCTTGAGGGCAGGTTCACATCATTTTCCTGAGCAGATCTGGAACTCAGTGCATTGCGTTTTGCAGCGATTTTGCTGCGTTCCGGGACTTTTTTTTCTTCTTGTTTCTTTTAGCTTAAAATGGGCTTTTAGGTGTGTTCCATTTGCATGCGTTTGTATGAGTTTCCATGTGTTCCAGTGCATTCCAGACCAGACAAAATGAGACATGCACTATTTTTCTGGTCTGGTCTGGAACAGACTGCGCTGGTGTGAACAGAAGCCAGAAATAGCATAGGCATACATTAGGATGCATTTTGGGTACGGAAACAATCTGGTCTGGAGAGGATCTGGATGTGGTGTGAATGGGCCCTTAAAGAACCCCTAACAGAACAGGGAAACATGGAGGGTTTCAGTTCTGATCTCTCCTTCTGAAGGTGTTATTTGCCTGGCTGCATGCTGCTCAGTTTGCTTCTATAATCACTGGCACAGTTTGCAGGTTAGTATTTCAGCCCTTTCTCTGACTTTCCTGTCTGGCTGTGCTGTCTGGCAGAGGTGTAAGAATCCGAAAGGCGTCTGGACAGAACTCATAAATCATTTGGGAGATAAGATTCACATATGTGTATTTCAGATAGAGATGAGTGAATTTCTGAAATGCTCGATCAGTTGTGGCTTGACCAAAGCTTAAAAAAAATTCACACATCTCCGAAATTCTGAATTTCCACAGGAGAAGTCTCATTACAGTCAATGGGAACTAATAATACAAAATGGAGCAGAATGGTTAGGAAAGCCCCCTGATAGTTCTGCCTGACAAGTTGATGGAGCCAGAACCAGCCTGAGCCACGTCCTTTAAAAATTCTACCAGGGATACTCAGATAGAAGGATGGGACCTGGTGGCCCTGGCAGTCAATCTAAGGGTACGTAGGCACATGCAGAAGCATATATAAGACATATACAGCTTTTGGAGCAGCCTTCGGACCTTCTCTTTTAGATGTCTTTTGAGCATCCAAACTGCCAAAAATAACGCTAACAGGGTTATTCACACAAGGGTGAAAGGTTTGGAGAAAGCAGGAGAAGGGAACAATCTAGGACAACATAGCTAAACTGGAAAGTGAGCTGAATTGGAGAATTTTTCCAAATCAGTAATGTTGTCCTAGATTGTTCCCTTCTCCTGCCTTATGCAAACTCTTCACCCTTTTGTGAATAACCTTGTAAAATTCAACTGGGTATTTAGCTGTCTGTATGGAGTTCAACTTTAAAGCTGAAGTTTAGTTGATAGCATAGTATATTTTGAATTCTCTGGTTCCCTGTTGCCATCAATGGGTTTCTGTGCTACTATATGCAATGCAGGCAGAACATTGCTGGTGAGAGGGGTTGGCAGCGTGTTGCACAATGCACATAGCTTCCTGAAAACATCACAGCACCCTGCCTCCTTTCAAGAGCACTCAGCCCTGATCCAAGCAGTGGTCTGCCTCTTGGGATTGGTTATGCAAATTACTTGATGGGGGGAAGTTAGTCTGGAGGATTGGGCATCTGTCACTGCAGAGAACCATGACAGGGGAGGGACTGGATTCCCCCCTTCCCTGTCCGATCCTCCAGCGCTGACTTGCGGAACGTGTAGGCCAGGTTCTCTCTTGGGGTGTTGCGTGTGAGTTCCCTTTGGGGTGGCTCTGTGTAACCCCGTGTATGCAACTCGACACCAGGCACCCCCACGCTCGGGGCCGCGGCTCTGGCCTCGTGCAAACAACTCCCACACGTGTAGCATTGCGCACACAGGGCCCTCATGGCTTCCACCGCCTCTGCGGTCTTCGGCGCTCCCTTCCCCTTGGGACGAAAGGCCACCATGAAGGGCACCCTATGTCGGGCATAGCCCCATTGCGCACCTACCCTCCTCAGGATGGTTACAGCCACGTTACAGTCCAACATCACACTCTTGCAGAACCCCACCTTCTCAGAGGTTGAAGGGAGAAGAACCAGTCCACACAGATAGTCTTTTCTGGATTTTACTTGAAAGAATGAACATGGTATAAAGTATATGTTTCAGCCACCCCTTAGTGGGATGACAGCACATCACTTGTTACTTGGTTGCGATACATTTTGGAGAGAGAGAAGAACAGCCCAGGCGCAGCCCAGAGTCCACGACTTACTTGGGCCAGAGGCCCACTGGCAAATATTGTCAGTCTTACAGCACTTCCATATTCTTCAGAATCCCATACTTGTCGGCACCTACCTACAAACGGACGGGGGAGGGGGCGGGCACAGCTGGCTCTGCCTCTAGATAGGCAGAGCCAGCTGTCACTCACGCAGCTGGGTGGATCCAGACATAATTGTCGGGATCCGTTTCAGCTGCGGCGTCTCAGTATACCGCGAGCCGTAGCGGTATACTGAGCTTAGGGTGACGAGAGGATGCTAGTTTGTGTCCTCCCGTTACCCTTAGGAGAACTATGGGGAAAAGCCCTAACCCCGTAGTTCTCCTTTAACATGATTTTTTTTCTCTCTTTTAGTTTTGGGTAACCT